TAGTGTTATGATAAGCACCATATTTCAAAGAAGTTACAAATATAAGAAAGAATAAAATTTTATTTTTTCAACTAAATTATTTTTAAAACAAAAAGCAATCTATGGAGTTTAGTGTTTACTAATAGAATAGCACTCACAAATACATGTATACATAAATACATAAATATTAGGGCCGATGATTTCACCCGGGTATGAGCTACCCGGGTACCCGGGTAGCGGGTGAAGCCGTACCCGGGTATTGAATTACCCGGGTAGCCCGCGTACCCGGGTATTTTATAACCCGGGTAGACCCGGGTAGACCGGGTACCCGGGCACCCGAAAAAATGTGGAGAGGTGAAAATTAAACGCATTTACGATCATATAACGCAAACGAACGTACATAGGGAAAATCTATAAGAATCTTCCGTACCATATGGGGAAATATTATAATATACAACACATACATTGCACTTGACAAATCCGTCATTCATCACACAAGCGTACTTCCAAACCCAGCTTGTTTTAGGCATGTCTAAAATATTAATATTTACGAAGTTGGTAATGCACGTACAGATATCGGATCGGTAACAAATAAAATTATTGAGACACACTCACCTGCGAATCTAAACGATGACCGACAGTTGAGGCAATTTTTGTGTTGGAATGAAAAAAATTTTAAAATTTCTTCCACAATTATTTCACAACAATACGTTCATCAACCTACTTCTCGTATTAAGGAAACTTCATTAAATAATTGTGATTTTAAAAGCTTTAAATATTATGAGAAAAGAAACTATAATTTGAACAAGCTGATACAATAAAAGTACAAAATCTTTAGGTGAATGAATAGCATAAGGCTGGGGCACCGAAATTGCGCATATGGAAACTGTGCATTTAGACATTATTTCGGTTTCAACCGAAACTGTGCATGTATGCTTTATTTCGGTTTTTACCATATGCATTATTTCGGTTTTAAACCGAAACTGTGCATGTATGCATTACTTCGTTTTTTTTCATATGCATTATTTCGCTTTTAAAACGAAAGTATGCGTATGCATAATTTCGGTATTTTCTCATATGCATTATTTCGGTTTTCAACCGAAACTGTGCATGTATGCATTACTTCGGGTTTTTCATATGCATTATTTCGGTTTTCAACCGAAACTGTGCATGCATACATTATTTCGGTTTTTGTTATATGCATTATTTCGGTTTTCAACCGAAACTGTGCATGTATGCATACCTTCGTCTTTCACATATGCATTATTTCGGTTTTCATCCGAAACTGTGCATGTATGCTTTATTTCGGTTTTTGCCATATGCATTATTTCGGTTTTGAACTGAAATTGTGCATGCATGCATTATTTCGGTTTTTGTTATATGCATTATTTCGGTTTTCTAACGAAAGTGTGCATATGGATAATTTCGTTTTTTCTAATATGAATTATTTACTTCTACTTAGTAAGGGTTTTAATCCCTAAGCGCGGCGGAAAGCCGCTTACGCAGAGAAAAGTTCTGCGCAAAAATACGTCCGCCCTTCTTTTCCGGCAATACAGAAAGGAGAATTCTACTTAGTAAGGGTTATAATCCCTAAGCGCGGCCGAAGGCCGCCTACGCAGAGAGAAATTCTGCGCAAAAATACTTCCGCCCTTCTTTTCCGGCAACACAGAAAGGAGAATTCTACTTAGTAAGGGTTATAATCCCTAAGCGCGGCCGAAGGCCGCCTACGCAGAAAGAAGTTCTGCGCAAAAATACTTCCGGCCCCCTTTTCCGGCAACACAGAAAGGAGAGTTCTACTTAGTAAGGGTTAATCCCTAAGTGCGGCCGAAGGCCGCCTACGCAGAAAGAAGTTCTGCGCAAAAATACTTCCGGTCCCCTTTTGCGGCAACACAGAAAGGAGAACTCTACTTAGTAAGGGTTATAATCCCTAAGCGCGGCCGAAGGCCGCCTACGCAGAAAGAAGTTCTGCGCAAAAATACTTCCGGTCCCCTTTTCCGGCAACACAGAAAGGAGAATTCTACTTAGTAAGGGTTATAATCCCTAAGCGCGGCCGAAGGCCGCCTACGCAGAAAGAAGTTCTGCGCAAAAGTACTTCCGGTCCCCTTTTCCGGCAACACAGAAAGGAGAATTCTACTTAGGAAGGGTTATAATCCCTAAGCGCGGCCGAAGGCCGCCTACTCAGAAAGAAGTTCGTTTTCATGTATAGTGCATACCGGTTTTTGTCATATGCATTACTTCGGTTATGAGTCGAAACTGTGCATGTATGCATTACTTCGGTTTTTGTCATATGCATTATTTCGGTTTTGAACCGAAACTGTGCATGTATGCATTACTTCGTTTTTCTCATATGCGTTATTTCGGTTTTCAAACGAAAGTGTGCATGTATGCATTATTTCGGGTTTTTCATATGCATTATTTCGGTTTTCAACCGAAACTGTGCATATATGCATTATTTCGGCTTTTTTCATATGCATTATTTCGGTTTTCAAACGAAAGAGTGCACATGCATAATTTCGGTTTTTCTAATATGCATTATTGCGGTTTTCAACCGAAACTGTGCATATATGCATAATTTCGGTTTTTTTCATATGCATTATTTCGGTTTTCAACCGAAACTGTGCATATATGCATTATTTCGGTTTTTTTCGTATGCATTATTTCGGTTTTTTTCATATGCATTATTTCGTATGCACAGTTTCCATATGCACAATTTCAGGGTGCCCATAAGGCTTTGTCACCTTACTTTTTGTACCAGAAGTGGCCTACCACAGGGTTTAGTTCTTATATAATTCCCAATGAGAACGTTCTCGTCAGTTTTGTTCTCATTTTGGTTTTGGTTTTGACGCGTTCTTGGGAACAAAACTACGACAATGGCATTTAGTTTCGATCATACATTTCGTTCTCAGTCCCTGTTTTAAAATATTAATATTTAATATTCTTTAAAATATACATACATACATACATATGTACACATGCATGTATGTATATGCATTTACAAAAATTAGAAGTTTGAATTTAAGTACAGAAACTAATGTTTTAATTTACTTTTCTTGTCTCCGTCTACTCAGGCAAACGGTTAGGTGTACATAGTCGCGTACACTCTAGACATAAAAAAATAATTATAAAAAAAAATTTTCTCACTGAAAAAATATTTATCCTCACCAAAAAGATTATACAAGAAGCTTTATGTCGCATTACCCGGGTGTTTTTCGTTTAACCGGCACCAACATATGTATATTACCCGGGTACCCGGGCAAATCGGGTAATACCCGACTACCCGGGTAATAAAAGCCCCGGGTAATACCCGGGTACCCGGGTACCACCGGGTATCATCAGCCCTAATAAATATGTACGTTTGAGAAATTTATAATTAAAATACTAAAGTAAAATCCCTGCAAACTATTTTTTCAGAGTATTCTGAATTATAGAAAAATTTTAAAGATTTCAACTGATTTTGTGCCGAATTTTCAAAAATGAAATTAACTGTGCACACTTCGATTCTTTTACGAAATTTCTGAAGAAAATCGGTAAAGCAATGAAAATGTTGCTGCTATGTGACGAATTTCTTGCAGAATTTTCTTAAATTTTCGTGCCAACTACCTCATATAATTCTCTTTGAAGATTTAAAAAAAAATCGTAACAGAAATGAGACGCTCTTAAAAATTTCGTTAAGATTTCGGGATCTTTGGTTTGCGGTGACTCAACTAAAGTAGCAGTTAGACCATGATTCAACAAATACAGGTTGTAGCAATCGTACAAAAACAATATTTACCGTTGGTATGAACTCCTTGTGTCATCAACATCTTCTTTATCTATTCATATTCGTATGTAAATGTATACCCTGCACACCAGGATTTCATAGAATTCTGAAAGGTTTCACAATTTTTTTAAGAATTTTCTTTAAGAAACCGTACAGAAATTTCTTACTAGTTCCTGTCAACCGCTTCATTTGTTTTTCTCTAAAGATTTCTGAAATAATCGTAACACATTTCCGACACTCTTAAAGATTTCGGGAGCATTTGTTTGCAGGGTATATATATACGTATATGTGTATGTATACGCGGATATGTAAATAAAGCAAAACAGACGATAATTTGACACAAGCGTGCTCTTAAGAAGAAGCATAGCGCCTATCGCTATCACCTTTAATTGATGCGCCTTGCTGTTAGACGTGGCAAGCGCAATGCCTATTCAAAAGTCTGTCACACTCGTTCTGTCCAAAAGAGATTGCAGGAACAGTTACATATCGCACGTAAAGGGGCTTTCCGATACTACTTTTTTCTGTTTAGACGGTGAATGCGGAACGTCTAGTCTCAAACTTTCTCCTTCAGTTATATTCGATTGGCAACTCGGTAAGATGTCAGACAACATCCATTGCCTACCATTAGGCGCCTTGAACAAAACAGAAGACAGCAAACAGCTGATTTTATTTGTCAACATCGGTACAACAACGCGGGTTCATTTTAAATTTTAACTTTAATTTATAAATAAAAGTTTTGTGGGACCTTCATTAGTCAACAACAATGAATCGGCGAATTGAACGTGCTCCGGGACGCTTCGTCCGAGGCCGGGCACATGGAGGAGGCGCTTATCGTCCGTACTTTTATTTTCGTCGCAACGGTCGGACAATACCAGCTGGTGGCCGGGGAGATTGTCAGGCAGCAGGAAGCGCACCGAGAGGTGGCGGTTGGCGTGGACGTCGTCGTGGATCACAGCGTAACGATAATTCCTTGACACATCCACCAGACATCCGCTTAGATTCGTCGTTCCTGCGACCTGAATGTTATGCAGCGCCGGAAGATGCTCAACATATGGCACAAAGCATTGCAGTTAATATGCCCCTACAATGTCCCGGTTGGCATATGTACTTTCAACAAGAGCCGTACAAGGAGGCATCGGAAGTAGCCGTACGAATTAAGTCAGTGGAAGATTACTATAATCGACAAGAAGCGCTTTATGATTTGAAGCAAATACAATTTGCAAAGTGCTTTAAGTTGGAGGAGAATAAAGTTACTGCGGATGAATTACTTATGAAAGCGTGGCCACATTTGAAACAAGATATGTTGGCGCATACGCACCGCACATTGGCAACATTCGGCGTCGCTATGCACAAAGTAGTGACATTGGCAACGGTGGATCATTTGTCGAGTCAACGAGCGTGTAGCAAAGATGTCTACGTGCCGCGCTGCACTCTACCACGAAAGATATACGTGAGACCAGTGGGTTTTCAAGAACTTAGTTTAATATCTGATGTGGATACTTCGGTTGTGGATAGTATGTGCAGAGTACGCGGCGTAGTGTCTGCTATAGGGCCAGTAGAAGCGAGCGCCTCTTGGATAGCTTTCAAATGTTCGCGATGCGGGCAGGAGCAAACGCTAAAGCAAAGTGGTAAGAATCACACTTATCTGAAAAGTTAAGTATTTACGACAAATTAATGTAAATTTTATTAACATTTCTGTTTAAGGATTCTATACTTCGCGCCCATATAACTGCAAGCGCGAAGGATGCATAGCAAAGAAGAATTTTATAGAGCAACGATCATCTCCTTTTACTCGCATCACTCCTTTGCAAATAATACAACTTCAAGAGAACAATTTACAGTCGCCTGGCGACTCTGAAATGGGAAATCAAAAAACCTTAGATATCGAACTAAGATATGACTTAGTTGATACTCTCGTATCTGGGCAAGATGTAATCATAACGGGTATACTTAAAATGCATTCATTAATCGACGAACAAAATACATATCCCAATTCCGCTGAGCCTGCGTGTAAAATCTATATGAAAGCAGCCTCCATAATAGATGCAAAGAAGTTGGGCCACAACTTTACTCAACGTGATCTCGACGCAATTTCAATGATAAACTCAGAACCAGACAGTTTTAAGCTTCTGGCACATTCCGTGGCGCCAGAGCTGCATGGCGAAGAGTTGGTGAAAGCAGGTGTGTTACTATCACTTTTTGGTGGTGCTGGCTCACAAATACACAATGATTCAGAGATTAATGTGCTATTGGTTGGCGATCCGGGCATTGGCAAATCACATTTACTAGAAATGAGTGCAAAAGTTTCGCAGAGAGGTAGGTCACTACTTCAAATTTTGGAGATTTAAATTATTCCGAATTAATTTGTCATTTTTCACACCCTTTGTTCTTTATATATAGGTACGCTGCTCAGGGGCAAACGTTGTTCGCCTTCTACGCAATCATTAACCACAACGCTTCAAGGCCGCACAAATCACATTGTCAACTCTGGCGCGCTTATTACTTCCAAAACTGGCCATTGTGCAATCGATGATCTTGATCGTTTAGCTTCACAGCAAGACATTCTATTGCAATTGATGCAATGTAAAACTGTTTCATTACCATTGCCTAATATATATACAACTATTGCGATGCCCACGTCCGTTATTGCTGCTGCCAACTCACTGCGTGGTCATTACGATCGTTCACGGCTACTGACAGAAAATACACGTTTGAACAATTCATTGCTGCAGCAATTTCACTTAATATTTTTGCTATTAGATAAGTCTAATAAAGATTTGGATACGTCTTTAACGGAACACATCAAAGCAATGCATGATGGCGTAAAGAAAAGCTCTGCGATTGCTTCACGGTTCGCTATGAAACCAAAAGGAAATAATTCAATGAATATTACCATCAGCGATGATGAACTGGACGATGACAATTATGATTTGAGTGATCGTTTAAAATTAAAATATATAGAATTTGAAGAGGAGAAATTGGATTTACTGCCACCAATATTATTGAAGAAGTTTATCGGTACATAGCTTTTATATGTTGTAAGTTTGCTTTTGTAATCAGCGATTACTTCTTTGAATTTTATAGCATATGCTCGCCAACATATGCGTCCATTATTAAGTGATGAGTCTGCCGAAACTTTAAAATCCTTTCATATGGGTTTGCGAGAGAAAGGAGATGAAGAAAATCGTTGCACTGTGAGTACAAGGTAAGTACACATTTTAATTAGAACATTGCTTGTTTGAATTGTAATATATTTTTTACTTGATATGGAAGTGAGCTTATGTTTTTTTTATTTAGTTACTATATTTATGATAGTTCTGTAAAGCTAACGGAGATCGGAGAGCCAACTTCAACGGCAACTTGTCTCCCAGTTATCACCCTTCTCGGTGGATAATTTCAGGAGCTAAAAGTCCTTCCAAAAAGGCTGCGAGAGTCAAGAGACTTTCTTCTTTTCATTTATTTCCCCTTTCTTTTTGGTATGAAGTTATACACATTTCTTTCCTACCCATTATAAGTACTTTTGTCGGGCGCATTTCAAAACGCCTTTTGGAGAAGCTCTTTTTAACTGATAAACAAGGTATTATTAAAGATTCATTTGAAGTATGTTTTATTGCAGCTTAAAATGCACTTTGAAATTGATTTGTAAAAATGTGTACATTCGCGTCAATTGTAAATAGGTAAAGTGATTCTAAAAGGCATGTAGGGAAGCTGCCCTTGGGTAAGCCTTTAGAATGGCTTCACTTGAAAAGGCCTACCTAAATTATTTTCTGGGTTCTTAATGATAGTACGTCTTAATTAGAGATTTTATTGCAAATCATGAACAGGTATTCACTGTATGCAAATATGTTGGCCTGTGGTATATTAGCAAAAGGTCAAGTATCCAGTACTTCTGATGCCTACCTTTAAAAAATATATATTGTGGCCATTGTATGTTTTTTCCCGTTTTGTAGAATATGAAAATATCTCAATGTTTATTTCTGTTAAGAGTATTTTATTATCACTAAACGTAATGTACTTAAAAATATGTATTTTTATAAATAAAAAGCTTTTAAATCTTAAAATTAACAACTAAAAAAGTTGGTATACTCATTCGCTGGGTATTGAAGCAATTTTTGAGCTAGTCTTTTAAATCGAAATTACGGGTCATGATGTTCATATTCCCTGGGCAATTTGGCAAGCGACATAATCATCTTGATTTAGAAAAAAATCTAACGCATAAGTTTCAGCAATGCTGATGTAGGCAATTCAACCAGAATGGCTAACAGCAGTGAAAGTAAATAAGAAACTACCAACGTAGATAGTATAAAGGAGAACTGAAAAAGAACAGAGCCAACTTTTATAATATAATGACACCTAAAAGATTGTTAATTTATTTACCATAACCTCAGGGCCAAAGAAAAGTGGAGTTCTCAACGTGCCCAATACAAAGCGCGCTACAAAAATGTGTATCACGAAGGCGCCATACGTCAGACGACCTAAAATACGGAAAATAGGCAAACAAGAAAATTTGCGGAATAAACCTGAAATGAAGATACATAGTTAAAAAATTAAGTTATCGTTTCTAGAAGATCACATTCATAAGTTTCTAAATATGTATCTCACCTCCAACTTTGCAAGCTATGCCCACCACGAATACGCCCAAGGCTAAACCCCAATTATTGCGTTGTATGGCAGCATAGATACTATTCCAAAAATGTGGTTGCTCCTCATAGTAATGCTGATAGATAGGATGAGCCGATAAGAGCCAAAGAATACCAGCCGGAATAAGCGCATACCAAAGGCATTGAAACACTTTGGATTTATGCAGTTTAAATTGTTTGCTAGAAATTTCATCGTAGACAATGGCGGCAAGTACGCCACTGAAATAACAAGCGAAATTCATATGAAATGGCGCATAGAATTCGCTGAACTCGCGATCATCTATGAACGAGTCTTTTTGCGTTCTGTGACAAGTGATGAAATTACATAAAAAGGATTAATATGCACACGTTAATAAGGTACTTGGTTAACTTCTTAACTTACTGTGGCGAAGGCACAAAAAAGGGATCGTAATTGCCGAAATAGGCAATAAATCCTGGCAGTACATAGAAGAAACCGCCAATGCAGCCGAATAGCCAGTTACGAGTGTGGGGATATCTGGGTGGAAGAAATATGATTTTTATAGTTACTAATTCGTGTTTACGTAGTAAGGCAGAAGAAGGACTTACTTATGTGCGATCATTAATATGAGCAAAGAAATCATAAATGAGAAAGTATCGGATGCCAAATACCAGCTCTGAAGCATACACTGTAAGAAAGGAAAAGAACAAAAATTATTTTCTTTTTCAGTTCGCAAAAAGCTTTAAATGTTAATTTTTAAACAAATAACACAATAAAAGTTATCACAACTTAAGTTACCACATCATTGAGCCAAGCTAAATTGAATACTTGTAAAAATAAATCCTTAAGCAGCAGCACTTAATTTACCTTCTCATTGTTCCTGTAATAGTTATTGATATAAAGCAAATTAGCCCACCAATTCTTGCGACAAGCGAGCTGCTCACGTTCAACAATATGTCGCCAAAGTGGCCCGCCGTGATTATCAAAATATACGCCACTCAATAGGATAACAAAAGCGTATGGAATGGTTAAACTGAAACAAAAGAAAGAAATAAAAAAAAACGAAAATACATATCCCACGCTAACTCCAAGGCTAACGTAAATGAATTAAAATGAGACTCACCGCAAGTAACGGAATATATTAAATTTAATATACACCTCTACATATTCTTTAGTACTCAATTCATTCTTAATCTTTGTCAATGCCAGCCAATTGATAGTCAACAACAAGCCGCTAAATACAAAGAAAGTAATTGTAATCAAACCACCCGAAATTAGTAATGTACCCGCAACGGTATGCAACAAACGCTCATTATCCTGTGGATTACTCAAGGCGCCCTCATAGAGTATCCAGTTGGTGTGTGCAAACACCACCAAGAACATACAGAAAAATTTGAAGCAATCAAGAAAACGTAGATCGCGTCCCATTTTGCCGACTGGTTCCTGATTTAGACGATACCAATTGCGCACCACTGAGAAACTTACACAGAGACGATTGACTGTTGGTAAATAATAGTAAACAATTAAATACAACAACGCTTAAGTGTAGTCAATACTTACTTATACCCCTGACGGCGCTTTTGTAATGATCCTCCCTTGAAATCTCTTTATCGCTAGGCCTATGTTTGAGATAAAAATCAAATAAACTGCTGCCAGCTACTAGTAAAATCAGCACAAAAGTGATGGCGTAGAAGGTGAGGTTCCATGTATCTGTTTACAAACCAATAAGCAAATATTTATGAGTAGCAAGTAAATTATATGTTATATGTTATTGTTTGTATAAAGTTATAACGATTATGATATAAAAATACGAGTATGTATACATACATCTCTGAAAAAAATGCATTGCGTATGTAATTGTAGATATATTTCCTTTTCAAAACCAAACGCATTTCAAAACAACAAAAAATTATTAAACATTAAATACAAACACTGCGTGCTACGTGATCGCACTCGAAATATGTCATAATGATGAGATATATGTATATACATATATTTTAATGAGTTTTTCTACGGAAATTCTAAATTCAAAGTTAGATAATCTTGTTCTATATATTTACTGCTACTATTACATAAACTCATGGACAAAAGAATAGCTGCATAATTCTAAATAATATTATTTGTAATTTACAGTATCGGTCATATAATTAGCGCCCCATTTAAAAATGATATTGCTTGCACTTAGGTTTATTTATTAATTTTTAGGAATTTCAATTAAAATAAAGTTCATCCTAATATTTTTTTGGCAATAAATGAAATGAAATTCTCTAACCCGTATAAATCCAAGTTTAAAACTTTGCAGATAACTAAAATAAATTAATAAAATTTTAATCAAAATTTCAAACTTTTTTCTCAGAACTGTTAGAATTTTGTATAGCTAATTCAATTTTAGTGTAATAAAGCGCAAATCTCAAGAGGTTAAAAATTACCGTTGATTTTTAAGATTTTTTTTTGTCGCATTTCTTTACATATAACGAATAAGCCCAATTTATTTTTATATGGAAGAAAATGCTTAACACTTTCTACTAACAAATTCTAAAAAATTGATGGTAATTTTTAACGACACGAATGTAGCACCTTATTATCCTAGCATTGAATGGGCTACAAAACTGCATACTCTAAAAGTTCTGAATAAAAAGTTTAAATATTTGATGAACATTTTTGTTTTTTAATTTAATTAATTTTTGTGAACTTTGTGTAAGCTTTGAAACGTTTATTTATTTTGTTTCTGTTTTCTTTTAAACTAAGTTGGCCAACATGTTGCAAACAATACCTTTTTGAATTGTGCACTTATTCTTTTGTCCATGAGTGTATGCAGTAATGGTTTACTCACCCATTTCAATAACTTTGTGATTTGTTTCACAATATTCAATCATGCTAACAGCCCTCAATCCATGTGTTTGTGTCAATCTTAAATTTATACATTGATTCATTATAGTATTGTATTGCTCGCGATTCGTCTCCTCGACGGTAAAGAGACCAACGTATGTGTTGAGCTGCAAGCAAAAAAATTAACATTTTATTCAAATATCCTTTGAAGCTGTGGTTTATTTTTTAGGTACGGCAATAAAAAATTGCGTAATGTGTAAATATTTATGAACATCTATATGATCAAAAATATATATATATAATAATAAACATCTAAGGCCCTAAAGTGGCTAAAAAATTAAAATTTTTATGATACAAATTTGAAATCTCTTTAAGGCCTTTTCCATTGATGGCAGCGAATGTATCATCGAAATCAGTTCCTTTTGAGAGTTATAAGTTAAACTCTAGAAATTTTAAGATTTCGTAGAAAAATCACAAGTGCAATACCTTCACCCATTACCGATTGAAGAGCTCCTTGGTTAATGGTTTTGTTATTGCATACAAAATTTATAACTAAGGGCTGTTTTCACCACCTCTGGTTAACTATAATCCTCAGTTAAACATCGTTGCCGACATTGCCGACACAATGTCATTTGCATGGAGTCAGATACGTCGCTAACGATGTTTAACTGGGGACTAGTGTTAACCAGAGATGATGAAAATGGTCCTTATTCTATTACAAATAAAATATGTATAACTCTTGAACCTGCATGGCGTTAAAGCACCAAAATTGAATTCAACCTTTTAAACAGGTGGCAACCCTCTTCAAAAACCTAAAAAATATTCGAAATGTTAAACAGAGTTTCTGAGTGAAGATATTATAGACTCTTCTTTGGCTTATTTAATGTTTAATATTTTTAACCGACTTCAAAAATGGAGGAGGTTATCAATTCTGTCGGACTTTTTTTTTGGTATATCATATGTTACCGCATAACATTGAAACACGTCAACCGATTTCGATACTTCTCCAAAACTTGTATATATAAATTGGAGTCGGTTGTGTTTTTTTGCCTAAAAATTACTTGCTTTTATAAACGTCTAGCTAGTTATACAACCACCACCATATAAAGCAACATTTAAAACTTTGTATAAAAATTCAACAAATTTTCACCAAAATTTCTAACTTTTCATTCAGCATTTTTAGAAAAAAATCCTCCTCAAACTGCAAACCATGACTCAATAATAGTAAACCCGATGGATTAACAACTGAGCTAACAAATACACAATTGGAATTTACAGGGCAATTCTGACTTATGGTGTTTTCCTTTTTTTCGATTTGTCTTTTAGCAATACATTTTTTTTAATTAAACGAAATTCAAAATATACATACATAAGTATATATTTTCCTTTGCAAAACAATACCCAGTGGGAAAATGTAATGTATAGTAATCGAAAAAATTATCAGTAAAACAACCCTTATCACATTCGAGAATGCATTTTTTTCCCAGGGCGATGTCTTAAGAAAAGTGGGGCATTCAATTTTGGATTACCTGGTATCGAGAAATTAATGTAATTTAATATGAAATTTTTGGGACTTTTGAATACATTATAATGCTCATTACATATTAAACAGTACTTGGATGTAAAACTCATAAGAAATACATTCGATTATTTATCACGCATGGAATGCATTACTACTTTTCCCACTGGGATAAGAACTGTAAATTGAAAGACACAAATTTATTAAATAAGTTTCTAAAAATTAAATGAAATTAAAAAAACAGGGACCGAAAATCATCACTAAATACCAAGATATTTATTTTCAGTTAATTGAAAAATCGTTTATTTTAATTAAAATTTTTTTCAATAAAAGATAATCGTTCCAATTTTGATTTTTTCGATCATTTTTAGCCCTTATATAAGAGACTGCAGTTTAATGACCGTTTCAAATCTATTAAGTTCTAAAATATTTAATCTTAAAAAAAGAATATGGGATGACCGAAAAACCTGTATTCCAAATATAACGATTAATTTTAATCGCAAAAATATAAATCCAATTTTAACGGTTAATTTATGATTTCTATTATAAAGCTCATCACCATTACAGTCTCTTAATTTTTTTTTTTTTTTTTTTTTGTAAAACAATAGTGTAGTGGTTAGCAGTGTGCGCTACCATTCCGCAGGACCTTGGTTCAATACCAGTATAAAAAAAAAATAAATAGCAAAATAAAACACAAAAAGTTTTTTTTCTAACAGCGGTGGCCCCGCGGCCAGTTTCTCATAAAAATGCAATCGCCGTTCGCAGGCGGCGAAAAACTGTAGGTCCCTACCCTTCGTGTGACAACATATGGCTCGGCCATACACTAAAATATTGTGTAAATCTATTCTTATTATTACTATGTAAAAATTAAGAGAAATTTAATTAAAAAAAAAAAATTAATTAAAAACACAATGAAATCTAAAAAAATAAGTTAAATAAGAAAATAAAATGAGTTTTTAAAAATATATGTATTTTGCTTTTTAAAATAATAAAATCTAAGAAGTAAAATGGATTTAAATAACATAAAACTCTACCTCGGATTTCTCGAATTTTTAATTTCATTTAATTTTCAGAAAATTACTTTATTTATTCTTTGTCTATTTAATTAAGTTTATTTTACTTTAAATTTTTAGATTTTATTGCTTTAAAAAATATATTGTATTTTTTTTAATTTCTTTAAATTTTCAGAAACTTTTTTTTTAATTTTTATGGTTTTAATTACATTAATTCTTTTTTAATTTTATTTTCCTGTAATTTTTATTGTAAAAAAATATTTCATAAAATTAAAAAAAAAATATAATTCCTAAAAGGCAAACAGAATGACGCTAAGACCTCCTCACTAGCAGAGTTTTCAATTAATGATTCAAAAGAAAAAAACCGCTGCTAGAGGACTCGACCCCGGATCTCTCGAAGTTTTAATTTCATTTAATTTTCAGGGAATTATTTTATTTATTTTGTCTTAATTAATTGTATTTATTTTTTTTTTTACTTTTGCAATTCTATTGCTTAAAAAATATATTCTTTTAATTCAATTTAATTTTCAGAAAGTTATTTAATTTTATTTTTCTATTTTTAATTTACTTTTATTTTTTATTTAATTTTCCTTGAATGTTTATTGTTTTAAAATGCAAAAATATTTATTTTTATTTACTTTAATAAAAAAAAATGTCTGTTAAAAGACCAACAAAATAATGCTAATACCTCCTTGCTAACAGTTCTTTAAATTAGTATTTCGAAAGGCAGAAAAGAGCTTTCAAGATACGAAAGACTTCTTGCTTTTTGGTGACTTGAAAGACAGTTACCAGAATTACCCACAATCCACAAGAAGGGACGACCTGTATTATGGGCCAAGTGCTACTTTGGACTAAGGACCACTATACAAAAACCGCACTCTTTAAGTAACTCATCATGGAAAATGGCAACATGCGATGAGATGAAAAAGATTCCCCGGGTCTTAACAAATAATTAATAATTATTGCCAACGACCTCATCAAAACTGCCCATGCAATTATTTGTTTATTTTACTTTGAAAGCATCTGATCATCTGATTTTCTTTTGTTCTGCTTCTTGTCTCCAATTTTTATTTGCAAAGGCACTTCACAAGGCCATGCAATAACACACATGTAAAAAATGTCAAGAAGGCGAGCACTCATTCTCTTCTCGTCTGTAAAGCATGCACCAGACGGCTTATTTCACTGTGTATGAGTGAGTGTACGGTGAGCAAAAGCAAGCACGTTTGAATATTCAAATGCGACACACATAATCTAAGTAAATACAGGTGCAAAAACAAACAAAGAATAAATGTAAACAATAAATTGAAACAACAAAAAAAAAGAGAGAAATGCAAACTCTCTTTGGTGATTCCCATACCTTTGTGTTGTTCGTTAGTAATCCAGCATAGAGTTCTTTGACCACATCTGGATCAGCAGCAGCCAAATCCTCTTTACACCAGCGCAAACACAGTCCATAATACAAATGTCGATGATCGAAATGATGTTTATTGTATTTCGATATCTCAGCAATGGCTTGCCAAGCCTCCGAGTTCGCTTGCGGCAACACCTCAGCGCGTACAAAGCAATATGTCTCCGAACGTTTGAATTCTTGTAAACAACGATCGAAGTCATCAAAGTCATAGAGGTTTGGCATTTTAAAGTATTTAGTCACTGCGAATGAGAAGACAAGTTACATACATTTATTAATTTGTGGTTTGCTTAAGTTTATGGTGCGTAAATACGTTAATTAACTAAATATTGATTGATTCAATAGTAAGTTGAAACGGTGTTAATAAGAAAAACAAAATTAAGGATGGCAAAAAAGTACGTATGTATACATATATGTACATAAATACGTAATAAAAATATTAAATATATAATTAAATAGTCTAGTAATAATGCTTAGAGAAACTTCCATAAAATAAATAATAATTATAATAAATGGTTTTGAAACCTACTTTTTTATTTAAAGTGGCTTTTTTATTTTTCCTCTCTGGCTTCAGGATTTATTTTAAAGGACTTTATAATTTCAAAGGTATGATTAATTCCAAAAACTATTTAAAAAATTCAATGCAATGTAGAATAAAAATATGGGTACCAAATGCAAGAGGAAATTTCTTTAGAATTCAAAAAAAAAAAAAATAAAATTTTTTTTGATAAAGTTAGAAGGACGAAATTCGAGAACCTTTTTATGCATATTATAAATAAGAATTTTCTAAGAAATCGAATTGAAAAGTTGAAAATTGCTTTGGTATTTTGATATTTTGGTATTTATTGCATTTACACGAGTCCCAGATGAAATTAAAAAAACTGGTTCTGCTGGTTTTTGCTATTGAATGAACTAAAAAAATAATAATAAAATTTGGTATAGAAAATATAAATAAATCAAATCGTCAAAATGTCAGGGTCGTTATATTTTTGACGCTGAGTGTACATAAAATCGATGTAAGGGTGTTGTAAGTCGAACTGATTACCTGTGGTTCGTCCATGATTCGACAACCTGTACAAATTTAGTCAATGAGGAAATTTTCTAGGTTTGCAACCAATAAATATATACAAAATTTAAAAGATGTAGTATCCATTGGATTTTGACAACTTTCGATGAAACCATTGCGTGCACTTATACATACACGAGTCGAATATATTCTTAATTGATTACTTTTCGGCATGAACGCCTTTTTAACAAAGATTGTAATTGAAATACTTAAGTTACTGTTGTTGGCAAACTCCAAATTGGTTTTAGACCCGTGGCTTCTTCGGCAAATTTTCTTGGAAGAACACGTAGAATCCTCCTATCTATACGCGCATAGTCAAAAATAATGACCTGCTCTAATGTACACATGTGTGTTTTCATAATGTCGGACGTGGCATTCGTATGACTTTGCAGTTAAATAAATCATAAACGGAGGTCACTTATAAAAAAAAATTTGCCGTTGTGTAGCTTTTACATCGTGCTTTGGCTGACAGACAATTAGAAACATTGGTGCGAGAAAATCGCTAAAAAGAGGTCATAACGGATGTGAGCAAACAGAAGTGCTTTCAGAGTAAATATAAGCGAAACTCTGCGAATCTTGTGAAGGTATCCTTTCTAAAGCTTTCTTTAAATAAAGCCAATTTACGGACCATTACAACCAATTCATATTTAATCAGAAGCAATTCGATGTTGATTTTATATTGTATTAAAATGGGATAACGGACAGAATTTCCCCCCGCACAATATTTTTACTAATAACACCGTGCGACAAAAACAAAAAAAAATTTCGAAAGACACTAGAGAATCGATATACTTACGAAACTATAGGCCAAATATAGTAAAACAGCGTTTTTACTTTTTCACTCTGACATCAGGATTTTTTTTCAAGGGTTTTTGAAATTTTAAAGATATGATAAATTCAAAAAACTATTTAAAACAAGTAAGAAAGTCTAAGTTCGGGCGGAGCCGAACATTAAATAACCGGCGCACGTATTTTCACCTTTCCGAAAGCTACCGCTACATGGTAAGCCGGGGCGTATCAATTTTGAGTAAATTAGAGTCCTTAGATTTCGAAATTTTGAAGTTTCAAGCAGTTCTGAAATTTACCATTATATGAAAAGCGGGCTCAATTTTAGTTCGCTTTCAATAATTTTCAAAGTTTTGCTTTTATGTGGCAAGCACAATAACCATACCGAGTTTGGTACAAATTGGTAGAACGGTTACCGAGATACATATATGTGATCATAAGTGGGCGGTGCCACGCCCATTTTCCAAAATTTTATCACAAACGTATTTCTTGGTTAAAAGTTGTTGCAAGCATCAATTTTGAATAAATTATCTTTAATATTTACTGATTTATTGAAGATTTTGTATTTCTCTAAATTACCGTTATAAGGGATGTGGGCGTGGTTATTGTCCGATTTTAAAAATTTTCGGCCATTTGGTATGTTGTGCGAAGGCCAGGAAGTTTGGAAGAAATTGGTGCAGCGGTTACCAAGATATACACATGTAACCATAAGTGGGCGTGGCTACGCCCATTTTCCGAAAATTTATAATATTCTTATTTTTCGTCTAAAACTTATTGTAAATATCAATTTTGAGTGAATAATCTCCAGTAGTTTCTAAAATATCGCAGTTTTCGTGTTTCTGAAAATTACCGTTATATGGGAAGTGGGCGTGGTTGCAGTCCTACCTTGGATAAATGGAAACCTACATACCAAATTTCGTTGAGATATCTCAGTTTTTTCTCGAGTTATCGTGTACGCGGATGGACAGACGGACGGACAGACAGACATGGCTCAATCGATTTCTTTTTTCATCCTGATCATTTATGTATACATTTGTCTATATCTATCTCGATTCGTTTTGGCTGTTAATAAATTTTATCTTCTTAAGTTAATAAAGTTTGCAGGACGAAATTCGACGATGAGATCGTGCATGTATTAATCTTCAAACAATGATAAAGAAAAATATATATATATTGAAAATTTCCCCGGATATTTAAGGACAAAATTTGTAAAGGACATTTTCCATACCCATTCGTCCTCATGCACAAACAAATTTATTCTGGTATAATTCTACAACATTTTTTCTTTGATATGATACCCTTATTGTTAACCTACATTGCACTGATTTTTCAAATAATTTTTTGAAATAAATAAACTAAGTACGCAGTTTTACTATAATTATTAATTATATATAAATTTTTTTGTGTGTAAAATTTACTGTTGCACGGTGTAATACTTACATATAATATATAATATGCACTTAGGTCTTTTTTAGGCGGTATATGCGTTACTCAGAAAACCGCATAAAAATAATCCGCATGAAAAAGTTCTTTACTTTCACACAAAACAGGAGATGCGTTCCAGCATTTTCAAAAACCTCATAAATTCAGATACTCCTGTGAAACATTCGAAAAAAAACCGCATACAAAAATCCTGAGCGGCAATATTAAGCAAAACAAAATAATTTATTTATTCACTTCAACTCGTATTATTTCATGTGAAACTGAACATTAATGAAATAAATAAAATATTATCTATATTTAACCAAAAACAAAAAAAAAACAATATCACAATAAATACATGAATTATGCAAGAATACAAAAACAAATTAATTATCAGAAGCATTGTCTCCTAAACACTGAGAAAAAGTATTAACAACTCTCAAAAAAGCGAAATCGCTACAGGGAAAAAATGGTTTGAAAACCCGCTTAAATTCAAATCCGCATAAAAAACCGCACAAAAAGAGACCTAAGGGTATAATATTATGTATGATTTAATTTTTTATTTCCTTTTTTTCAGTTCTCCACGGTTTTGCGTTTTTTATAACCTTTTTTCGCCATCTAAATACGAAATTTAAAGTTACAAAGTCATTGAAACTCATTTATTTTACATTTTCATTGAAAAACCCATATGTATGTATGTATGTACAATGCACATATGTATATGCCACCAATTTTTCTTGTTTCTGTTCATCTTCCTTGTTACCACTGACTCATCGCTATTAAAATTGCATTTCCGATAAATTTACCGCTTCAATAAGGCACAGGTAGGTTTTCAAGTCAACAATCTTTAGTTTATATTTTTTCTGCTCCCTTTGCTTCTTCCATTTGATTTAATTTAATTGGCTGCATTAAAAGTGAAGGGTAAACAAGTTCAAGTTGAGCTTTCGATTTCTTTAGACAGGACCTGTTAAATGAACGCACCTACATACACAAACTCTTATACTTCCTGCGAAATTCTAGAAATATCTCGTTTTTGTTTTTTTTTTTTGTTTGTATTTGGTGCCTGGAATTGGAATGGCAATTTTGCATAGCTAATTTTTCAGTTCACTTCTGTATTATTGCGCTTGCGTCTGTTATTGCTGGGCTCACAATTGCACACAAGAACTCCTGAAGCGAACAAACGAAAGACTTAAGTGGCGAACTTGCTGTATAGGGCTTCACTTGTTGAGTTTTCGTTGCAGTTAGGGGTTTTTTTTTAAATTACTCATAATGTTACTCAATTTTTTTCACATGCTGTATCGATAAAAATGAATGCCCTTTCTATTTTGTGCTACTAGAAATGGCTTCGACCATAAGCATGATATAGAAATCGGCTTAAACACAAATTTGGAAATTAGCTTTTTAAATTTCTATATTTTAAAAACATTTTTGTTTTTAAATACCTCAGTAATCCTTTGCGTTATAACTTTGTTTTTATTTACTTAATTTTTCACACAACTTACTATTCATTTCAAAACTTCTGGCAGGCCCAGCGAAGTATGTCGCAATAGCAAAAAGCCACAGCATAATTTTGTAGAACATTGTTGTTATTTAGACAATTTTTTTTAATAACTAAAAAGCGTATGATTTAATATGTATGCTTGGTACTTCAAAATTAAATTTTTGCCAACACTTATCAACACAAAGCATTAAATTGCACCAATTTTTTGAATCGATTTTTCACAATTTTGTTTGTTTTTTTAACTTCCTTTTACTTTTTTAATAAAATATAAGTCCACTCTTTTAACCACTAGTGGCTTTATTAAAAACTCAGGGAAGCGTGTACCGCATGCTACAACAGTTACAATGACAATGACTGCGAAGATGTGCCGAGAACTTTAGGCTGCTGATAGTTGCGTATGTATTACGATTGGCATTAATATTGGCAAAGATATTCTTATTTATGTATGGATAGCGAACCTGTTACATTCGAAATGGGAATATTATGCCGTTACACACACACATATACCAAAGCTTTCCGCTGACCATTTTGTATATTTTACTTCGCTTACATGTAACAGAAAGGGCTACTTTTAAGTGGCTGGTTCTGCGATTATCAAAAACAAAAAAAAATCAAGCTAAAATTTCTAAACTACTTACTTACCTACATGTTTATGTAGATTACATTTCATCTGTTCACATTGAATAATTATTTATGCTTTCATAGGCTTTACCGCAGTCTATTTTTTTTCTTTTCTTTCTAATGATATTCACAATATTTTGCTATCAGCAATAGAAGAGGAGACCAAGAGGGGATTCGGGGATTTACTCGAGCGCGTCAGATTAACATATGGGGGATACCCTGCATCCTGTCAGCTGAGCAGAATAGTAAAAAAAATTGATAGGTGGATTTACTCGAGCACGTCAGATTAAGAAATGGTGGGTTAATTACATGCTGAAGAGTGTGCATTTCAATAATCTGATGATTTGAGCGTTACGGAAGGGATTGGGAGGGTCGCAAAGTCGCAAAAAAAACGTTACCTTGACATTATCGAGCGCGGTCAATTTTTTTTTTTATTATTATTATGAAGCAAACAGCTGAAGGATAACGGGAAGTATATAATCTGACGATTTCCACATGCCTGAGTAACGAAAATCGTCAACAAAGATTAGCGCTTGCACTTGCTGTTTTTAAAAACTATTTACTACAGATTTTCTACAAAATTTGTTACATTTTTATTTGTTTGTTGTTTTCCGTTCATATTATTTGTCACAATCATATGACTGGAACTATACCCAGCGGACCAAATGCTCGTAAATGATACCAGTTGCGAGTGAAATGTAAGAACTAACCCAAACAATCTGTCGCTAAAGATGATGTAACTTTTGGCTCAACAAATATCAGTTAAAAATTACTTTTTTAACTTATGTATGTGAATTTTACTCAATTCTTAACTAAAATCACTAGACATAAAAATTTGTATGTAAGAAAAACACGCATTTTTCAAATTGAATAACTCAGTGAGAGGGGAGACCAGTATGTTTGCATGTATGTATTTAAAAAAAATATTTATTGGACCAAAAAGTAGTGGGTAGGCACTGTGGCCAATGGTAATCAACTATTACCACCTCCGCATGGTTGTAAGCCATGCAGAGTCCGCAGAATGCTCCGGAAGCAGTGTCCGGAGGATGCATCCGACTAGGCAGAGCACACTTTGAACTGCCATCAAATTATAACTTAAGAAAGTTTTATTACATGACAGTTGAGAAGTGCATGTACATAAATTTCATTAATTTAATGAAGGAAATTTTTGCACATGCAGCAGTACATAGCATGCATTTAGGCGCCTGGTGTTAGCAGTCGCGTCTAAACACAAATAATTTTGAATTCAGCAACCTTAGGTTTACTTATACATGAAGAAATTCGGAACTCCGCTCCCTTCTTGCTCATTCTTCATATAGTATCAATGGACTATGTGTCCCCTTACTGCTTTTGAAATATTACCTTTGAAATTTTACTAACTAAATTTTGTCATTTATGATGAGTGGAATTGATTTTTGAGTGTTGTGTGGATCAAATTCTTATCAAAAAAAACTTGTTGGACTATTCTTGGGGATTCAGGTATAATACCCCGTGAATTCTATAATAACACACTTTTCATCTAAATCATTTTATGTAAAAAAATATTGTCAATTACTTCTTGTTACAGATGTGAAAAATGCAGAAGAAATTGACGACCAAGTCGAAACGGACTTGCTGTATGATAGTTGCACGGATAAAATAATAAGTATGTATTTAAAATAATATATGTTTGGTTGACTGTGCATCTCAGAAACGAAATAATTTTTTTAAACCGTCAGATTAAGAAAACCCCTCCAGATAATCATCAGAACCTTCTGTATGAAAATCTGACGCGCTCGAGTAAATCCACATCGCGATTTTTTTTTGCATCTTCAAGAAGACGCCACTAGCGCGAGCTTGCGTCACATATGAATCGTCAGATTATTGAATGCGAGGTTCATTCGGGCCCACTTAACATCCCTTTTAAATAACTGACGCGCTCGAATAAATTTTCTTGTCACCCATTTTTGGCCCTTCCGTACGCACACCCACATGATGCAAACCGGCATAGCATATCTCCGTCATCAGAAACACGTTTGATTTATTCACCATAAATATCTGACGCGCACGAGTAAATCCATGCAACTGTTTTTTTTTTACATTTATGGAAGCCTTTAGATCCTCCACCCGCCGCTGTAAGGAAAAACTTCACGTGACCTTTTTTTTTCCCATCACAAAATCTTCAAAATCCAACAGGTCAAAATGACCCTCGAGTTAATCCCGATTTAGCATCGTGGGCTGCCCTACTACAAGAATGTTTTACTCAATCAATACTTTTCTCTTTATTCACATCGTTCCATTTGTATAAAACCACTTCTAATTTGGTACTGCAAACGTTTGTCGGTTTGGGCCGGGACTAAAAATGTTCGTCCATTGCCCCTCTCTTTTCCGAAGCTAAGCCAATATTGACAGGTCCTTCTGCACTTGGTCCTTTCATTGTATTCAAAGATCCGCTTGCTTTCACTGTCCATGGATATTTCTACCAAAGCATCATTATATATGTGTACGACGGGTATGACATTTTGAAATTTTTGAACAGTGAGGCTTGTGAATTTAACGACGGTTCTACTTTTCAAGTGCCCACCGAGTCTAAAGTAGCACCTGTTGGCAAGAGTTAGCCTTTACTTGACCTGTAATCTGACGTTATTAGTGGTGTCGTCAGTGAGTCGCGGAGAGGTCCTCTCCGATTTGGATGGTGTTAAATATGGATTCAATGTCACTCTACAAGCCGTATTTCTTCTGCAGGGGTCTTTTCTTTACTCTTCTCCCAGTATTGCTCAACTGTCACTCGCGTAGCTACTATTTCTTCCTATAAAAATAAATCGACCCCAGCGACACTAGGCGAGCCAGTTTTTAAGAATACTTTTCCACTTAATGTAGCCAATATATATTTTTTTTTGTCGGAACCAGGCACAAAACAACACGTGCAGAAAATAGCACTCAGACTACATGCCGTCCATTGTACTGTTTCCATGTCCCTTTTAATCTGTTTTAAATCTACACGATTTACGAATAAGCCTAAGCAGAATGTTGGGTGCAAAGAGCTCAGGTGTTGATCCGGTGTTGATCCCTGAACACCTCGCAGCCAAATGTCTCATACCTAATTCTTGGAACGGTGGGCAAGAAGCACAAAAAGTGCTCCATCGTCTCATCCTCCTCAAGGCAGGATGGGCAAATGGAGTGGTCATTTACGCCTATCACAGTCACGTGTTTGTGCCACGTGATATTCGCGCCTAAGGTCCTGAATCATTAATGGATTGTTCGCATAACATCGGCCCTTCACGGTACCAAATTGTAGATCCGAGGTATCCAGTTGACATTGCCGAGACGGCTAATAACATGATTACCGAATTTGGCGCGCAAAAAATCGATTGTGGTATGTGCTGTGTACCATGAGACGCCATCCTGCTGAAACCAGAGATCGTTTATGTAAGTCATTGGCTGCAATTTCTGGCCCCATCAGGTCGTTTATCATGGCTCTGTAGCGCTCACCGTTGACCAAAATGAAAGGTACTTTTATGCAATTAGTGTTTGAATAAATAATTTTCAATCAAAAAGCCCGTATCTGTCATTGCAATAGGGGACTGAATCTGAGCAATGGTTTGCACAATGTTGTCATCAGGGGCGTCCAAATTTTCCGGTTTGTTTGCATAAAATAATGACTTCGGTGATCTTTGTGGCCAATTCGCTGGTCCATTTTGAGAGATCACGAATTCACTAAACCGTGAGCTATTGTGAGTATAACGGTACCTCGTGAATTTCTCGTGTATTTTATTCGCTCCAAATTTGCTTATCAAACTCTCAATTGACCAAAAATTAGCCTTCATTCCAAACTAGGAGCGCCAGTTACTGTCGAAATTCGACAATTTTTCAAGTTTTTTAAGGCCCTTGGAGAGGTTTTCCAACGTAACACGTCATTTAACTTATAATGTACAAAACCGAAAAGTCTCCTGCTTTGAAACTAAAACGTGACTACAATTTTGTATATGTTTGCTGGTCTTTGGCATTGGAATTAACCCTATACGTTCCAGTGTGTTGATAAATTTCGATAATTTGATAAATATCGATAATTAATAGAATTTTAAAAAGACACCCGATAACTGAATAAAATTCCATCACGCGACAAATTTCAACAAAAGTCTAAAATGTGTATATATCGATATAAATCGATAGCTCAATATACTTAGTATACCTCTATAGATTTCGATAAGTCGGTTAATCGAAAGCTATCGACAAATTTTGATAACTCGTTACACTCTGGTAACGCGATAAAATTCGATAAGCAGTAAAAACTCGATAAACTTATATAACCTTGAAATTCCGATAACTAGATATATTTTGAAAATGCCAAAAAAAAATCGATTCGATAAATTGAAAAATTTCAGTAATTCAAGTAACTCGATGCTACGATACGTCGACAAATTTCGTTAACACTATAAATAATGATAATTTAATAAATATCGATAACTTTATGAATTTCATTAACTTAATTAATTTCGATAATCCCATAAATTTTTATAGCTCGATGACTAATAATAATAAACATTGATCAATTTGAGTATGTAAATCGATACGTTTCGATAACTTGACAAACATGGATAACTCGATAAATTCCGATAGCTTGATAAATCCCCTTAAGGGGAAAAGAGTTACGAACACCGGAATTTTATGGCTATATAAAGATGAGATCAAATTTTCATATATTTGCTAAAATTAAGTAGAAATCAAAATAAAAGCAAATAGATTTACATTTACACGTAATCTCACTTTAATACTTTTGCTCCAACAATTTTTTTTTTCGTAAATATATTGTCGCTACCATTTCAAGCTATCGAAACCTTCCGCATGCGTTTAGAATAATACGTAAGTTGGCAAATCGTCGAATTTCTAGTCTTCTTAGAAGACTCCCACACTATTTCCTAATGACAACAACATTTTTTACAACAGTTTTTTTGCTCTCCTGGAAAGTACCGATTTTCACATTCGATAGTTTGACATGGTAGCGACGATATGTATACCTGTTTACTATTTTTTATGCTTAGTCATGATTCATGAGCATTCCGTATTTATTCATACAGTTGCAAAATTTTAGTTTTGTAAATTTTTGTAAATTTAAATTGAAAACGCCAACCTCATTCAACCGGAATTCAGCTTATTCTAAATTCATATGTCTTTCGGCGCGTTAACGGTAGAGCCCAAAAGTCTCACGTGTATTCAAATTTAAATATGCACAACAAGCGCTAAAAAGCGGTTAAATCATGTTTACCGCCATATTTTATTTATATTAGCTCAATATATCGGTGTAAATGGCGCTATCTCTTCAATTTCAGAGGTCAAGGGCCTAGCAGAAGAAAAATGTTAATATTTGTACAGGTTTCCTGAGTAGAAATTAATACACAAAAAAATATATATATAAATTAACGCAGCAGCTTTTCCATCAGAAAAAGCATATTTCAGGTTGCTAATATTGCCTTTCATTTATTACAAACATACATACATATGTAAGTAGGTACTTAGTATGCGTGCCGCTGCTGAGAACTTATAATTATAATTAACATTCTCTGCCGCTGGACGCTCAACTTTTACCGGCTGTCCAACATGTTCGAACTTCGAAGTTATGTTGTCACTGTTAATGAACATACGTTAAATTACTGTTGATGCAATGTTATCTAAAAATTAGCGACATACTGTAAAATTCCTGTTAAAAAACCCGTATTTTCATCACTACCAATAGCTGTAGGCAGGCTGTATGTGACGTAAATTTCAAACATTAAATTTAACCAACTATTTTTATTTTTGTGCTTATATTTTCAGTCACCTCGAGGGTCTCATCCGACTCTCACAAGCCCGTGCGCGCATTGATTTCTCGGCGGAAGTGACGAAAGCGCATATACGCGATGTTCTATGCATTGTGCGACACAGTATTGCCGATACAGTGACGACCGATTATATAGACACAAATCCAGCGACAGCAAGCGCATCCACCAGCCAACGAAGTACAGTAAAAAAGTTCATACAAATGTTGCAAATGCGTTCGAGCGCCTTGGGTCGGCGCATATTCGACTATGATGAATTGAAAGATATGGCAACGCGCGCGGGTATATCGTGTGGCGTCAGCAATTTGGTAGAGACTGTAAATTTGCAAGGATATTTGCTGAAGAAGGGTCCAAATATGTATGAGGTGATGACGGATTAGTGGCGGAGGATGAGGTGAATAAATGATATATGTACGTATTTATGTACAATATTTAAATGATTTTTAGTATTAATAATCAAAATAATATAAAGTCTTCTTAGTGCCGTTTTCCAAGCAAGTTTTAAAATTTATCTGCCCAGAACAAAATTTGTGTTTAAAGGGCAGATAAATTTTAAAACATACTTGAGAAAACGGCTTTTAATTAGGGAAAGTGATTATCAGTATTTTTTTGTTACTTACATACACATACATATTTTAAGTTACACTTATGAAGTAGTTTTATGAAATAAATAAAATGAGAGATTTGAACTTTTATACTACATACACATGCCGTAAAAGAAATATGTAAATACAAAACAGGAAAAATTAAAATTTTGATAACTTGCTTGGGAATCGCTTCTACGATGGACCACAATTTTTACGACGATTTCTATACAAAGAAGCTTCATACTGGTATTCACGGGAAGATAAGAGGGTTGGCAAGATGCAGATATTCTGATTCCAAGGACTGGATATCTGCTCTGAAGGAACGGAATCTGCCCTTGACCTCGAGGGCGGGGAAAGAAATGGGCTTGCTGTAATAAGCCTTGAAACAAACTTGCAATTCCAAACGATTTGGCTCACGGTGTACTAGGGTGAATTATAATTTTTAGCAATCTTAATCTTAATCTGTAAATTAAATTCTACAAATGGTGTTAAGAGTTATCTTTGTGTCATTTTGATAGAACAACTTAAGTGACTTTAGAAGGTTTGAATTTGGATTAAAAAAATAATAAGTTGCACTTAAACAATTTTATGGTTTTATAAGGCTTCTATTAATAGGGCAGTTCAATGGAATATTCAAGGTATTCATGTAAACTAGATATGCCAGATCGAAATAAAAAAATCGATTTTTGAATCGATTCGAATCGAAATAAAAATAATCGATGCAGGAAGAAATCGTCAAAAAATAAATCGATCTCCCAGAATCGATTCATATACTTTGTCAAATAACGTATTTTACTTAATTTTTATAAAGAAACAATACACAGCGATCTGACCAAACTTTTACTATACAGAAGTAATGTTTAAAACATACATACGTACATACTTTGTTCATAACGGTTTCAATATCTAGAGTAACTGGGAAAAGGTGTGAGATAAAGGTTTTCTATACTAAGGCAATGATATGATCATTCATTCCGCCAGGCAACGAAATTACAAAAAATGTATGCCATTTTAAAAATGCCATATGGAAACAAACACTATGACACGGGTAGTATTTAATGCCCAAGATAGTGGATAGAGTTATTTTCAAGAGGCTTCCCTGAGGAGCCTTATAGTTGGAGGAGAAAAGTCATTGAATTCTTTGGTCTTTGCTCTCTCGTGTTTTTTTTTTTTGTGCCAGCCCCAAATTATAATTTCTTTATATTTTATAGATTTTCTGGGGCAAACCATATACTGAGCAAAAACCGAATGTCGATTCTCGAATTCTTTGAATCGATTCACGGATCGAATCAGAATTAAAATTTCGAAAAAAAATTTTTATCGATTTAAAAACGGCAGCTCTAATATAAACGCGGAAATGCCTCTTATCCGCGTATTTCCTCGCAAATAAACCGGTTTTCGCCGACGAGGTCGATCATAAACTGTCTTAGGCCGGATTCATATTGAAGTCTCAGTTGGTCTGCTTCTAATTACTTATTTGAAGTACTCAGAATGTAGTAACTACTGCGGAGAAATAGGGGATCTGAGATAGGCCAAGTGCTCTCCTGAAAAGGATGAGATTTCAGATTGAGATTTATTAGGGAAGCCGAAGCCGTGTTTTGGGCTCTCTAAAAATATTGGTGTGATCTTTTTCTCCTAAAATATACAATGTCTCAAGCAGTGTTCAAAGATTCCAACTTTATGAAAAATTTGGAAAAACTCAAAAAATATTCATCGAAATTTCGAATTTTTTTATGTGAAATTTTTGGAATATATTTGGATGTGCAGTTCTCTAGCCTATAAATATTTATTATAATAAAGTGCAAGTTTAAAAGGGCTGAAAAACCGCGTTAATTTTTAATATTGTTTTTTTCTTTGATGATTGATTTCTACACTTTTTCCATACACCCAAAATTGTTCTAAAGATCCAGATTAAAACGATTGAAATTTTTATGAAAGTGGTTGAATTCTATTAAATTTTGTATGAAATTTGAAACTTTGATTTATATGGTTTTGGTTAAAACATAAAAAAATATTTTTTACAAAAAAGAAAAAAAAAAAAAGAAATGTAAATTTGAAAAACCGTGTGTATGTATATTTTCAACATGCGAACACTTGTTTGTGTCACTGCATATGCCGCCGGTGTTGCCTCAAGGGTCTAAGGTGTTGCCACAAGGGTCTAAAAGAAAAGTTTAGAATTCGCCGCACTAATATCATTGAGTCGATCTGACATGTGCTTCGCAAAATTTGGCATTGTTTGCCGTTAACGTACTCAGAACCTTTTAAAAAAATAAGCAGTTTACTTGGGTTAGGCTTTGCTGAAAATACGCTCAGACTCCATCGAACTATCCTGGAATGAATAAATATGTCAGCGCGCACTTTTTCTAAGTACTCCGATTTTCCGATGTGAGCTTTAAAATACTCCGTATGTATATATAAATATACGTATGGTTCATTTCATACAATATTTATACCTCAAAAATTTTTTGGGGTGAAATTTAATTTTTACATTTTTATCGAAAAAAAGACACCAATTTTTTTTTATTTCGTCATGATATTCGAAAATCTCGAAAAAAAATTCCCGAAATTTTGAACTCACAAAGAAGTTTTTTTTCAATTGTTGCAGTTAATAAACTGTTTGTCGGAGAAAATCAGTTAATCGACTTTCCATGAGAGTGTGAGATAGATAAAAAGAAAAATTTGCATTAAAAAATTGAATTTTTTTAATTTTTTATTTATTTTTATTAACTATACCATGTTAGATTTTTCCAACCTAAATAGTTGTCAAACTTTATGGAGTACGCTGTAAAAATTTGAGAATGGAAACACCAAAACTGTAGAAGTTACGAGTTTTTTCATACCTGCGTACATAAAGTTTCATAAATTTTATACATAAATGCGCCGATCCAAGATGGTTGCTATTCTTGTCACTAATCGGTGCACGTATTGTATTCATTTGCCCAACAATTAAAAGATCGCAAAATAGGAATTTAGTGGGCTTCCATTTAAAAAAAAATTCTGATACTTTTGCACTTTTTTTCAACCATCGATAGTGTTATCGATTATTTCCCACTTCTACCTTAGTGCACATAGGCGCAAGTATCCATATTTTAAATGCAACCAGATAGTGATTCTGCAAAATTTCGCGAGTAAAATACATCGATTTTTCTTTTAGTTTTTTTATTATTTCATATAGTATATTTCTTTAAATATCATCATTTTTTTCGTTAAAATATAATATCAACTATTTAATGTAGTATGTAATTACTTGTTCTTATTCATATGAAGTACAGTGCTATCTGGGTCGAGTGAACTAATTAATGCAAGACCAGTTCATAAAATGCAGATTGTTCACTATATCCAGATTGAGTTTTTTTGTTCTTTAAAATCAATTTTATTGCGCAGTACGTCGTTTGAAGTTAAATTTTTAAGTACTCGGAAATGTCGTCTTTTCCCTCAGCTAATGCCAACACATGTTTCCGGTGGATGTTGTATCGTTGTCGTCAAGCTCTATTAGCGGTAGACCCAGGAAGCGTGCAGCCTCGATGGGGTCTGTCCATAAGGCCAGAGGCGTTAGCAGGGTGGGGTTTAGTGGGCATGTGAAGAGATGCTGCGAGTCATGGGGCTTTTCTCCGAATGCGGGGAATTCATTTGGCACATCAGCATTTATTCTGCTCAAGTATGAGTTCAACCTGCTGCAGTAGCCCGATCGAAGTTGGGCTATGGGGTGCGAGTCTCCCGAGGCAGACGGCCTTCTAACGTGCCGTCGCGATGGTTCTTCCGCAAGCAGATGTCTGTTCGGGTACCTAACACCCGGGTGACACCCTACTAGGAATTGCTTGCAGAGCATTGTGTTATGCTCCTTAATCGGGAGCATATTGGCCTCGTTGCGCTGGTGGTGTTTCGGCAACATCAGAAGGCATCCTGTCGCTGTCTGAGTGCCGTGTTTTAGCAAGTCTGCAGTTTCATCCACTGCGTCCTACTAGTCCCCGATAGCGACACAGGCGTTGCATAGTTCAGAACCGGGCGGCCAATTGCCTTGTACGTTGCCAGCAACGTTTCTTTGTCTTTGCCCCACGTGCTGCCGGCAAGCGACTTGAGGACCTTGTTGCGGCTTTGTACTTTATTGACAATTGCGGTTGTATGCGCCGAGAAAGAGAGCAGACTTTTGAAGGTTACTCTGAGGATCTTCGGGTTATTCAACGTCGGAATTGGCTCGTCATCG